CTTTCTTCCCAGGGGCGGGAGATACAAAATGAGATCCCAAGCGAGGATTATTTAAATATTTTTGATCTTTAGCTGTAATATGAGTTTCTTGCAAGCAAATAATATCATTGTTGTGTTGTTTCAAATAGTGGTAAATTTTTTTTCTCTTTTGAGGAATGTTTAATCCATTAACATTCCAGGACAGGAGCTTTGCCATCTCCCTTGGCCTTCAGCCTGGAGAAGATCCGCTCAAATTCTGCTGCTGATGAATATGTAGCAGAGCTTTTGGGTCTTGCTCCTCCCACCGGCACTGAAGCAATTTGCTGAGTAGATTCTTCAATTTCTTTTTCTTTTTCTTTTTTCTGTTGTTCTTTTTCTTTACGTTTATGTGCTGCACGGGTCATTCTCTGTTCTTTAACCTCTGGTTGAGACATCCATACCACCTGTCCAGCAGTCATCATCCCTGTACCTTCAGATTTCTGTTCCATCTCTTTGTCACTCAAGACTTTATGCATCATGGGCAAAGGAGAGCCTGCTCCCAGGACCGTTTTATAAAATTCCTTAGCTTTAGCAACTGTATTAAGTCTATAACGTGTCCCCGCATGGCTCAAAACAATGCCCATCGGAATCTCCCATCTAAATGGCATTTGTCTTGCTTTAAGTTCATTTACTAAAAAAGCAAAATCTTTTCTGCTTCTTAAAATTTTAGGTGGAATTTCCTTTAAAATAATAATATCTTGGGCAGCAATCTGAAATCTTTTATTATAAAAAGTTTGTAGAATCTGATTTCGCAAAGACTTCTTAGCAAAATATATCACCACATCTCTAGGCAAATTCCTCTGTTTTGCAATCCAAGAATTAACTCTATAAATTCTTTCCACATCCCCACGTAACTCTTCTTTATCAATATTCAAAATAACAGCCAAGTCATTAATCACCATTTCCATCAAATCTTGAGTTTTATCTTCTTTCAGACCCCTTATTCTCAAAGCATATTCCATCTGTCTATACTGGAACATAAGAATATCATCTTGTGAAGTCTCCACTTTTTTCTCCATATCTTGAAATTTATAATCCAAAAGTTCAACTGTTTCTTCAATTTCCTCTACTCTGGAGTCCAGCTTCACAACCACTGAGGCCATTCCAGATAGAGCTAAAAGTATATCATCCCTCAAAATAGCATTATTCTGTTCTAAAAGCTCCTTCATCTCTTTCTTCATTTCCTCCTTAGTTTCAGATTTATTCTGATCCAAAAGTTGTTTCATTTCCTCCCTAAACTGTGAGACAGCACTTACCATTATTTCTTTAATGTCTTGTGCTGATGTGCCAGATGGGGGAGGTGAAGGTGGAGTAGATTTAGGTTGCTGCACTGAGGGTATTATTTTAAGTTGTTGTTGCACAGTAGAAGTAGCAGGAGAAGAAGTTACTTTAGAAGCTGCAGTAGCTGGTTGTCGTTTTGAAGCCATTTTAATTTATCTTCCTTTCTTCTTAAAAATACCAATAAAAATAAATAATCCAAAAAAAAATTAAAAATAAGATAAAATAGAATAAGATAAGATCAATCTAAAAGTCCCCAAGAATAAAAAAGTAAAAAAAGTAAAAAAAAAGCAATATTAAACAACAATTCAGCCGATCCGTCTTTTAAAGGAAAAAAAAACTTTCAAAACGCCATTTTACTTTCACTCTCACTTTTCCGCCCAAAAAAAAAAAGAGAAAGCTCAAAAAAATAAAAAAAAAATCAGCAGATACTAAATAAACTAAATAAACTAAAAAAAATAAAATAAAGCTAAACTATAAATAAAATCCTTTAAACAGTTCTGTCCGGTTTAAGATTACTCACGGTTTCTTTAAGTACGGAGATGGTAGCGGCGTCTCGCTTTGTTTCCGAAGAAACAAAGACAGCTGAGAGGCGGAGAAGGCAATGAACTCCGAGGGAACCCTCTTTCTACCCCCCTAAAAATAAAAATCCAGGGAGAGTTAAGAGGTTCTACCTCTATTCATGCGATCTCTACCCCTTCCCTTCGCCCGGGAAGGGGATTGCGAGCCGCGGGCCAGCTGATAAACGCTGTGCTCCGCGGATCTGACACCTTCTCAGGAGGACGGCTACAAAGTAGCCGCCATCTCCACCGCTTTGACCACCGGAAGTCAAGGGACAGCTTCTTTAAATACAGGCAAGGCCCTGACTATTCATTTAGTGACCATTTAAAGTCACAACAGCCCTGAAAAAGAATGACTTGTGACCGGTTTTTACATTTCTGAACATGGCAGCTTCCCCGTGATTATGGGATCAAAATTCGGGCACGTGGCAACTGGCATGTATTTGTGACAGTTGCACTATCCCAGGGTCATCTGATCACCATTTGTAACCTTCTCAGCCCGCTTCAGGCAAGCAAAGTCAATGAGGGAAGCCGGATTCGCTTAATGACTGCATGATTCACTTAACAACTGCGGTGATTTGTTTAATAACTGTGACAAAAAGGTCATCCAAAGGGGCAAAACTCACTTAACTTTCTGGCTTAGCAGTGGAAATTTTGGGCTCAATTGTGGTAGTAAGTCCTTTACTTACGACCACTATTGAGATTAGACCAGGGGTCTTCAAACTTGGCCCTTTTATGACTTACGCCTGGCTGAGGAATTCTGGGAGTTGAAGTCCACAAGTCAGAAAAGGGCCAAGTTTGAAGACCCCTGGATTAAAACTTCTTCTACGAAGTGATAAAGGAATCATGCCTGATTTTATGACCTTTTTTTGACATAGTCATTAAGGGAATCTGGCTTCCCCTGTTGACTTTGCTTGTTGGGAAGCCTCCTGGAAAGGTCACAAATGGCAATCATGTGACCCTGGGATGCTGGAACCATCATAAATGAATGCTGGTTGCCCAGCATTGGTTACATGACTGTGGGGAAGGCTGCGAAGGTTTTAAGCATAAGGATTTTTCAGTGCCTTCATGACTTCAAATGGTTGTTAAAAAAATGGTCGTAAGTCAAATGTTCTCTGTACAGTTAAAAATAATAATAAGCCACTAGAAGTCTGATCCTCCATGAATTTGTGAGCAATTGGTGGCGGTGGCCATCACCGCCTCCTATAGTAGCCTATTCCATAGCTTATATTCCATAGCAACTTTGTCAAGAAGGATTTCCTTCTGTTCATCCTGAATCTGCCCAGACTATCTCCAGCAGGGCCCCAGATTCTTATATTTTATCAGAGGAAGGAAGAAAAACTTCCCTGTTTACCCAAAACGTTACCCAAAACGTTTACCCAAAGCGCCTGAAGGCAGGACAAGAAGCAACAGGTGGAAACTAATCAAGGAGAGAAGCAACCTAGAACTAAGGAGAAACTTCCTGACAGTGAGAACAATTAATCAGTGGAACAGCCTGCCTCCAGAAGCAGTAAATGCTCCAACACTGGAAGTTTTTAAGAAGAGACTGGACAGCCATTTGTCTGAAATGGTGTAGGGTTTCCTGCCTGAGCAGGGGGTTGGACTAGACGACCTCCAAGGTCCCTTCCAACTTTACTACTACTACTACTACTATTATTATTATTATTATAACATGATTTTATATATACCATATCACATTTGTTCCCTTCTTCTTCTTGTGCCATATCCGTTATTGGACGTTGGCGATCCTGATGGCGATCCTGTTTTTATCAGCAGCCGCACGAAAAAGTGCTGCTGAGTTTTGTCCAAACCAGTCCCTTAGATTTTGAAGCCACAATGTTCTTCTTCTGCCTGGACCTCGTTTGCCTTCAATCTTTCCCTGGAGGATTAAATAGAGTATGCCGTATTTTTCTGGGTGTCGCATCACATGTCCAAAATATTCTAATTTTCGTTTTTTAATTGTTTTGATGATTTCCCTTGGCTTTCCCCGCCCACTTTTAATTCTAGGTCCAAATACTGTCACCTTTTCAGGGTGAAGCTATTTGTGCTCTCTCTGTTCAAAAGTTAGGGATGGAGACCCAGATGGTGCCAGAGAGCCCATAAACAGCAAGATGCTTGTAAATCCCCATCCGAAGGATAAACTCATGTCCTAGCCATGCTGCTGATCTTTTTTTAGAAACTTCCACAAATGCCATTTCCCCCCCCCCAACTAAAATAACATGATGTCGACTGACAGGTTTTCAACCATTGCCTTCTGCAGCTAGTTGACAGCCGTGATTATTCCTATGCTTTGCAAAACTTCACTACTGCAGATTAAATTACTGTTAAATTCACACCTAAAACAGCCCACTGAAGAGCTGGCAATTCTGTCTAGTCCATCTGCATTAAATCTGAGGCAGTGACGGTGGAGAGAGCTTTATAGGCTCCTTTACAAAAAAGGAAGCATCGGTTTTAGAAGAACAAAATGGCAAAAGAAGTAATGAAAGAATGGGGGGGGTCGCTACTGTGAAGAGAGAAACGTGGCCTCATTTTTAAGGCCTTTAAGGACAATTCAGGGTCCCTGCTCAAATTCTAGATGAAAAACAGTCCTCATTCAATAGCGCATTAAGAGAACACTAAACTAAATGAGATACTGTGGTCTTCAAAGACATTTGCGAAGAAGCACAGCCCATTAAAAACACAGCTCTTGCTTCTGAATAATTAGCAATAGCACTTAGACTCTTTATCACTTCATAGTGGTTTACAGCCCTTTGTAAGTGGTTCACAGAGCCAGCATATTGCCCCCAACAATCTAAGTCCTCATTTTCCCGACCTCGGAAGGATGGAAGGCTGAGTCAACCTTGAGCCGTTCAGGATCGAACTGGTGGCAGTGGGCAGAGTTAGCCTGCAATACTGCATTCTAACCACTGTGCCACCACGGCTCTTTACTGTTTCAGATTTGATTGAACATCACAGAATTGGCACCAAACGATCCAAGATGCCACCCTCGGCTACGTGCAACATTCATCGCGTACTTCTAGCCTACTTAGAATCCACTTGCAATCATCTGAATAAAAAATAGGCATAGCTAGGCCCAAGACAGTGTTAGGAAATTTGGGCAGCCTGCACCACAATCCTAACTTTCTTTTTTAATATTTTCAACAGATTTTGTTGGCACTGCGGTAAGTTCTGTGTGTTGGTGTTGGCCTCACTGATGTCTGGTGTTTGCTAGCTGTGTTCATAGGAGCCTATTCTAGTTTTGTCTTGTCCTTGTTCTTTAGTATGTAATTGTGTTAGGAGGATATTGTGTTGTAGTTGATCAAATCCTTTTGGGGAGGAAGAGGATTGGGGTGAAGAGAGGAAATGTACATACCCACATTTATGTTATCAAGCGCTCTTGTCTACCTCGTTCCTCTTTCTGGGGAAAAGCTTTGTTACATATACAGGAACATTCATCTTTATCCAGCCAATCCTGGGTCTAAAAATACAATAATGGGGTCTTCATGGAGGCCATTCCCCGATCCCAATGCTTCCTCCTGAGACAATTCTCAAAATTATGTCTTCAGAATATGGAGGAGGTCATGTTTTGGCCATTGTTTCTTTCCTTGGGCATGCTTACCGAAAAATCTCCTACACTACTAGCAGCCTCACAATAACAGTCCTAAATATTTCATTTATATCATCCTCAAGAGCCTTGAGTTGGTGTTCTTCTGTCCTCCTTGGCTAAGAATCTCTGACTCATAGAACATCTTGGTCACTTCTCCTCTGCCAAGGCTGCGTGTCAAACCTGCTCTGCTACTACCCCTCACTCTCCTTCTGAAAGATCAGGAGAAAACCAGCCAAGAAACAAACAAACTCACCCAGCCTGCTAAGGGACCATTTGCTTGCCAAACTACTCCAATATTTGGTTATTATGCTTGAAAAGAGAACGAGGAGGATAACATTTTTTTTTAAGATTTCTTAAGGAGGACCCTTAGAGCTCTTTAACAGCTTTCTGGTCCCTGTGGTGTACCCCTGGAATAAATCCATGTTCTCCAGCCTAGTCCTCAAGATTGAAAGCGTCTCCAGCCAACTCAACGCACAATATTCACAGATTCTGTAATGAGTTGCAAAGATCATCCTGCATGTTGTATGCATCTCCAAGGTGCCTGAAGGCAGGACGAGAATCAACGGATGGAAACGGATCAAGGATCAAGGAGAGAAGCAACTTAGAACTTAGAACTAAGGAGAAACTTCCTGACAGTTAGAACAATTAACCAGCGGAACAACCTGCCTCCAGAAGCGATGAATACTCCAACACTGGAAATTTTTAAGAAGAGACTGGGCAGCCATTTGTCTGAAATGGTGTAGGGTTCCTGCCTGAGCAGGGGGTTGGACTCGATGACCTCCGAGGTCCCTTCCAACTTTATTATTATTATTAATTATAAATAATTAACTAGAGCACAGACCATCCTTTCCTGATTTTCTGCAGGATGCAGTACAGGTAGTCCTCAACTTGCAACAGTTTATTTAGTGACCGTTCAAGTTGCATCACTAAAAAAGTAAATCATGACCATTTTCCACACTTATGACCAATGCAGCATGTCCAATGCAGCTGACTCATATTTAGGACGGTTGCCGTGTCCCAGGGTCATGTGCTCCCCTTTTGCAACCTTTTGGCAAGCAAAGTGAGCGGAGAAGCCGGGTTTATCTCACACCCATGTTAACAACCACAGTGATTCACTTAACAATTGTGGCAAGAAATGTCATAAAATGGGGCAAAATTCACTTAACAAACTTCTTGCTTAGCAACAGAAATTTTGGGCTCCGTTGTGGCCATAAGCCGAGGACTACCTCTACTCTTCTTTCACCTGAGTGGGAGTGCTCAGAGAGATAATAATAATAAAGGACTCCAGGACAGGAGAGATTCCTAGTCTGAATGGGTGGGAATGCGACATCAACCTGCAGTTAAAATTGCAGGAAGAGACCGGTTTTCAAGGCCTGACAGGCAGTTTTCCCTTCCTTGTGATTGGAGTTTCAGTCTCCAGGGCCATGCATAGTCAATGAATCTGATTGCAGGCACGGAATAACATTCATTTCAGTTTTGTTAAAAAGAAGAGAATGAACTGAGGCACACAATAGCTTCTGGAAGTCTTACCAATTCCTTTGCCAGCAGTGGCCATAGGAGTCTGTATTATTAAGGTGACCAACTGTCCTCCTTTAGGGAGGACAGTCCTCCTTTTGTAAGTTCTGTCCTCCCTCGAAAAGTGTCCTCCTACATGTCCGCCTTTTCGATATTTGGAGACTAATCTGCAGGGCTTTTTTTTTCTCATAGAACGCTCAGAACGGTGTTCTGGCACCTTTTTTTGATGATTTTTTTTTCAACTTTTGCATGAGCTGTGCTACTCCTACTATTGCCTTTCGAAAGCCAGTAGGAATTGCTGCTGAGCACGCCAAAACACCCGGCTGGCAAACTTTGCATATGCAAGTTGTCTGTATTATTGTTGCAATGAATAAAATGTTTCTTTTATTTACGATATTTTTTTCTTCAATTTATTTGTGTCCTCCTCTTCACTGTAAAAAAGTTGGTCACCTTTGTTATGTCCTGAGCCTGCAAAAGGGCAGGCTCGGGACGTTGCAACGGTCCCGGGCAGCTGCAAGTTGCCCGGGACCACACTGGTTGGCACCAGCGCTCGCGCGCATGCGCGAGGTGCTTCGTGCGCCTAAATGTTGCCTTTTGGCCCGGGGAAAAACGTCTTAAGAGAGGCTGAGAAGTCCGTGCTGCCTTGAGTTGTAACGGGGCTGCTGAAGAGAAATAAAGAAGGTTACTGAACATCAAGAATGTCTCGCGTCGTCATTGCCATTAGCCGAGGACTCATCACTGGCGACGAGGATGGGATGGCCTTGCAATTATGCAAACAATTGTAAGCTTACCTTGGAGTCCAGCACAGCGAGGAAACGGCGTTAAATTCAGCAATTGCCTGCCAATACAGCTTTGTTGGAGGTAAGCTGGCTGATAGACCCTTCCTGCTTTACTAAAATGGCAAAGATTGGAAAACTTTCAGAGTTTGATATTACACATCCCGAAAGATGGGAATCTTACGTGGCCCGAGCAGAAAATTATTTCAGAGTTAATCAAGTAAGAGAAGAGGGCTTAAAGGCCGCCACCCTACTCTGCGTTTGTGGTCAAGATGCATTTGAAATTGCTGAAAACTTAGTAGCCCCTGCACCTCTTGAATCTGTTACCTACACAGATCTTAAGAAATTACTGAAAGAGCATTTTCAACCCAAGTTGTCTGTTATTGCTTGGAGACATAATTTTGAACAGCGGGATCAACGGGCTGATGAATCAGCTAAAGAGTACATTGCTGCATTAAGAAGGGCAGCTAAGCATTGCGAATTTAAAGACTTAGAGGAAAGACTGAGAGACAGATTTGTATGTGGACTGAGAAACAGAGATGTACAACAAAGGCTTTTTGCCAAAGAGGACATATCATTCCAAGATGCCTTGAGAGAGGTTACTGCAGAAGAGACAGCAAGAGGGGCAATCAAGAATATGAGGCCCATCAAAAGCTTTCCAGAAGCTGTTTCCGTGCATCACGAGGGAGTTCAAGGAAGCTCAGAAGAGGAGCCCGATGAAGAAATAGATCATCTCTACCCAACCAAAGAAAGAAAGCAGAGGGAAGGCAGAGAAAAGTCTTCACCTGTACCCAAGTGCTTCGGGTGTGGAGGTCGCCACAAGAGGACCGACTGCAAGTTCCGCTCTGCAATCTGTAGAGCATGTGGGAAGCAAGGCCACATAGCAGCTGTGTGTCTGGGCCGACAGAAGGTACAACCCCGAGAAGAATTGCGCCTGAAAGGTACCAGGGTCCCCAGCCAAAACAGGGTGGGTTCCTGTGCTTCACGAAGAAGCATTTTTAAGACAGGCACACACAGACCACTTAAAAAGAAGCTGTCACTTAGGGTGAAATTGCAAGGAGTTCCATTGGTCATGGAACTAGACACTGGGTCTGCACTTTCAATCATCTCCATTCACACATTCAGAAAGATTTGTTCTGGCAGTGGTTTCCAGGCCAAGCTTAGGCCTTCTAACATAGTACTAACAGACTTTCAAAACTCCAAAGTGTGTGTTAAGGGGGAGGCCACTCTTAACGTGCAGTATAAGGATTTTGAAGGTCCATTAGATGTATTGGTAGTGGGGGGTGATCGTACGAGTCTCATAGGACTCGATTGGTTTGAGGCCCTGGGAATACAAGTTACAGGGCTCAACAGCTTGCAAACGTTAGACTTACAGGAAGTCTGCAAGGAATTTGCAGATGTATTCAGCCCTCAGTTGGGCACATACAAGGGTCCCCCAGTGTCTTTGAAATTAGATCCCACTGTCACTCCTATCAGAGTAAAGGCAAGAAGGGTACTGTTTGCCTTAAAAGGGAAAATTGATGCTGAATTGGACAAATTGATTCAGCAAGGAGTCTTAGAACCTGTTGACTCCAGTCCATGGGAAACTCCCGTAGTAACGCCTCTTAAGGCTAATGGGGAAATTCGCATTTGTGCAGATTACAAATGCACGCTCAATAAGGCATTACAACAACACGCCTATCCTGTGCCTATTGTCAGCCACATTCTGGCTTCCCTCAAAGGGGGGCGTATTTTTGCAAAGCTTGATTTACCTCAGGCTTACCAACAGTTGCCTGTGGACGAAGCTGCTGCTGTGGCACAAACCATTGTAACTCATAGGGGGGCATTCAAGGTCAAGAGACTGCAATTTGGAGTAAACGTAGCTCCTGGAATTTTCCAAAGAGTAATGGAAAATACCTTGAGGGGTATTCCAGGGGTTTGCCCCTATTTTGATGATGTCTTAATTGCTGGAGAGTCTATCCAAAATCTGGCTGAAAGATTGAGGGCTGTCCTGCTGAGGTTTCGGAAAACAGGACTCAAACTCAAAAAGGACAAATGTAAAATTGGGGTGTCTTCTACAGATTTTCTGGGGTTCAGAATTGATGTCAATGGGATTCATCCTGCTGAGTCCAAATTAAAAGTTATCACACAAGCTCCCAGACCTAAGTCCAAAGCTGAACTGCAAGCTTTTCTGGGACTTTTGAATTTCTACAATTCATTTATTCCTAACAAGGCTGATGTAGCTGAACCACTTCATAGGCTTCTTGACAAACAAGCTGTGTGGGAATGGTCACAAGCACACGAAGCAAGCTTCAATAAGGTTAAGGCCTTGCTAACATCTAACAATGTGCTTGCACATTTTAATGAAACACTCCCTGTGTGCATTGCTTGTGATGCTTCCCCTTATGGCGTAGGAGCTGTACTCAGCCATCTCACACCTGATGGAACTCAGGTTCCTGTTGCATATTACTCCAGAACTTTATCCTCTGCTGAGAGGAATTATGCCCAGATAGACAGGGAGGCCTTAGCTGTTGTTGCTGGAATCAAAAAATTCCATGATTTTTTATATGGCAGACATTTCACGGTCTACACCGACCAAAAGCCTTTGTTGGGATTGTTTACAACTAACAAACAGACCCCTCACATTATCTCTCCCAGGATGCTCAGATGGTCAATCTTTCTGTCAGCTTATGATTTTTCTTTAATTCACAAACCGGTCAAAGAAATGGGCCATGCTGATGGCCTCAGTAGATTACCCTTACAGGTAGTTGAGGCTGACCCTGCCCCGGCAATCAATATTCTTTCAATTCAAGCACTGCCTGAGTCACCCCTTAATGCCAGGGATGTGGCTGCTGAATCAGCCACGGATCTTACACTCTCTCGAGTCTTATCCTGGGTTTTGTCTGGATGGCCAGAGAGTTGTCCAGGTACTGAGTTTCAGAGTTTCTGGTTAAAAAGGAACAAGTTGTCCACCTTCCAAGGCTGTCTGCTGTAGGGTAGCAGAGTTGTCATTCCTACCTCAATGAGGTCTAGAGTCTTAGGGTCCCTTCACGAGGGTCATCCTGGCATTGTTCGAATGAAGGCGCTTGCGCGCAGCCACTTCTAGTGGCCTGGGTTAGATAAGGAAATTGAGGCTAAGGTGCATGCTTGTCACCTTTGTCAATGCTCACGCCCAGAAATGCCTCAGGCTCCCGTACATAGGTGGGAGGAAACACAGTCCCCATGGTCTAGAGTGCACATTGACTACGCTGGGCCCTTTCAGGGTCAATTCTTCTTGATCCTGGTTGATAGCTATTCAAAATGGCTTGAGGTTGTACCTGTCTCGTCCACCACCACTGCAAAGACTATCCAAGTACTGCGGGGAATTTTTGCTGCACATGGGCTTCCGGATGTTTTGGTGTCTGACAATGGCCTGCAATTCACTTCTTCCGAATTCCAAGCTTTCTTACAGGCCAACATGATTCGTCATGCCACTTCTGCTCCTTTCCACCCTTCCACCAACGGGATGGCTGAACGGATGGTCCGCATCACCAAGGATGCTTTAAAGAGACTTACCTATGGGGACTGGCATCACAGGTTGGCTGATTTCCTCCTTTCCTACCACACTACACCTTCCACTTCTACCGGGAGGAGCCCAGATGAACTTCGTTGGGGGCGCAAACTGATTACTAAACTTGACCGGTTGCATCCGGACAGACTGCCGCCTAGGGGTACACAGCCCAGGGCACCGCAGCAATTGCAAGTGGGTGCCCCTGTATGGACCCGTAACTACGGGCCAGGCCATTTATGGGTTCCTGCCACTGTTTGCAAGGTTACAGGCCCTTTGTCTTATGAGGTCTCCTTGGAAGACGGCCGCATCCTGCAATGGCATATTGACCAGCTGCGTACAAGGCTGGACTCACCTGCAGAGACTCCTGGTTCTTTTCCGGGGGGGGAGGGGGATCCTTACGGGCAAAGGGAAGGGTGTTGGCAGCATTCAGACTCTCACAGTGAGGCCACAGACGGCCTGTCGCATGATTCCGCGAGTGTTCCAAACAGGAATTCAAGGGAACCAGTTAGCGCACAAGCTACAGCGCAGACTCCAGCCAAGGAGTCACCCCGGGGGCATAATCATTACACACGTACACCTTTCAGCACTCCAGTCAGGGAGAATAACCAGGAGCATCCTAATAACTCAAACATTGCAAGAGAGCTGGCACACAATCAATACAATTGGCCCAACACAGCCACAGTCCCCAGAGAAGGACACTGCCACAGGGAAGTGGGAGAAGAGCCAATTTTAGACAGTGGACCCTCTGGTTCAACGGAGGGGGGAACTGAGTTTTGGGACAATACTGAAATAACAGACAGTCCTGCTATGGAACTGGGGAGTGGAGGAAGCCAGCCTCCCGTTAGGTCCAGTGTGGGCTTGAGAGGCCATTCAGAGCTACCCAACAATGGCAACTTATTAGAAGGGTCAGCTCGCCTGCAATTAGGCAGGTCAACCACGTTAGAGAGAGAGCAAAGTCCTGGCCTGACGAGCCCGGTGGGCAAGCAAGCAGGCCAGGCATCAGGGCACAGTCCACGGGGGCCACCAGGGTCTGAGAAGGGGGGTGAACCTATAACCTCCACAGGACAAGGTGTACTTGTAAATAATCCAGGCCTACGTAGGTCACAGAGAGATAAGAGGTCTCCCAAATATCTTGAAGATTTTATAACCTTACTGGCCAGGCAGAAGACTTAAGTGTATTCTGTAGAAGCCAGAAATGGGAACACTGGAGTTAATCCCCAGCACTATAGCGTGGTACCATTTAACAAGAGTGTACACCACGCTCTTGTTCAGGTCGCGTTAAAATTGTCATGTAGTCTTAACTGGGGGGGGGAAGGGGTGTTATGTCCTGAGCCTGCAAAAGGGCAGGCTCGGGACGTTGCAACGGTCCCGGGCAGCTGCAAGTTGCCTGGGACCAGACTGGTTGGCGCCAGCGCTCGCGCGCATGCGCGAGGTGCTTCGCGCACCTAAATGTTACCTTTTGGCCCAGGGAAAAACGTCCTTAAGAGAGGCTGAGAAGTCCGTGCTGCCTTGAGTTGTAACGTGCTGCTGAAGAGAAATAAAGAAGGTTACTGAACATCAAGAATGTCTCGCGTCGTCATTGCCATTAGCCGAGGACTCAACAACCTTAGTATTATCTTTGGTATAATGAAGCAATAAGTTGCACCTGTATGTGTGTGTTTGTGTTTGTGTGTGTGTGTGTGTGTGTGTGTGTGTGAGTGAGTGAGTGAGTGAGTGTGTGTGAGAGAAATTCATCCCAATGTCCAATCAGGGAATGTGCATATATGTTGTATGCATGTGCATGTGTCCACTTGTGATAGTCTATTCAGGAATGACGCTTATGGGTACTTCTGTTTTCCCCTCATGTTGCAACTGTGCATGTACATGTACACTGAGAAGCATAGAGTGGCTGCATACTCTCTGCTCTGGGTCATGTGACAGGAAGGAGGAGAACTTAAAATGGAGGCATCAATAACAGCCACAAGTCACAGGGCAATTGCCTCTCCCATAGGGGTACATGGGGGAGGGGGGTTGCTGGAATTATTTTTTTTTCAAACCCTGTCAGGAGCCAACCCATTTTTTTTAACTTGTCTTGCTTCTTCTCTCACATGTTTGTTTTGAGAGAGTTAGTCTGCTGGTGGACTGAGAAATCACTTCTCTTTGCATAATTTGCTTTCCAACATCCTGCTGGGTCACAAAGAGTAACAGCCACAGCCCTCTCCAAATAATAAACTTGAAAGGCCCAATGAAAAGAAATGCTTAAAGTAGAGGTCTTCAAACTTGGCTCTTTTACGACTTATGGACTTCAACTCCCAGAATTCCTCAGCCAGGCATGCCTGGCTGAGGAATTCTGGGAGTTGAAGTCCACAAGTCATAAAAGGGCCAAGTTTGAAGACCCCTGCCCTAAAGCAAGAGAGGACTTTAGTTCCAGCTTCCTGTCCCCTTTGTATAATGGCCAGAAGGAAAACCTCACAAACTTTGCATAATTTTTTAATTTACACACTACGGTCCCACAAAGTTTGAAATCCAGCAGTTAGGGTTAGGTTATTATAGAGTTTTTGTGATCCCTGCTTTTCCTTACCTCTGTGCAGTTTATATACACTGAACTGCCTGCCACGCTACACAATTGTGCGGTTTTGCAGGAAGCATTGATTTATTTAATTTTTTTTTTTTTTTTTTTTACTGACGCATGTTTTCTTCTTCACAGAGGATATAATGTAGAAGAGGCAGGAAGCCCCTTTCACTGGTACCTGGACTCTCATCCTTTCCTCCTCATTTCCCTCATGGCCTTTCTTTTGCGGCTGCCAACCAGGGGGAAAACCCTGCCCCACTCCACGGTGTCCGAATTCGCCGATCTCACCTGCGTGCCGTTTCCAGAGACATGGCCATCCCTCATGATCTGCCAGCTTTGACTCGTATTCCCTCTGCTGATTGGCTTCCCCAGCCTGCCTTTCCTGCTTCTGAGGGAAGGAAACGTGCACATTCCAACTGTATGCTCAAAAAAGGAATGACATCCCTGGGATTTTTAATTCTTCCTTTTCAAGAGTTCCTCCATTCTGGGAGAAGCCTCCAGCAGGGTCCTCGTGATGCCAGACCTGGTGCCAAGACGTTGCTCCTGTTGCTGCCGCTGCTGCTGCTGCTGTTGTCACAAACTACCAGGGCATCTCTTTGCCGCATCCGTTCCCGTTTTTAACTTTCTGGCCCCTTTGCTCCTCCCTGCGGCCGTTCAGTACCATGCCGTGCTCAAGGCTGGCCCATTTGATACTTTTAGGCGTACATGAAATTGTCTCTGAACAGGGTAAGGTGAGCCCAGGTCCCCTTCTCCCGGGGGATTCCAGCCACCAGAACTTTTGAGTTTCAAATCATTCTGCCCAGGTAATACAGCCGCACCTTGATGTCTACAAGATGGGAGGTGGGGGGTGGGGGGGAATAGAGAGAGGTCTGATCCGCTGGTACTTCTCTGCTCACTATGGGGCTCTCTCCAGCCTCAGCCTGCAAGACGAGTTCTTGGACACTGAATGTAATTCTTGGCTAGAACCATGCTGGACATACGAAAGGAGCCAAAGATTGGGCTAAGGCAGTGTTTCTCAACCTTGACAATTTTAAGGCATGTGGACTTCAACTCCCAGAATTCCACAGCCAGCATTGCTGGCTGTGGAATTCTGGGAGTTGAAGTCCACATGCCTTAAAATTGTCAAGGTTGAGAAACACTGGGCTAAGGTGAGGGGTGTCACCTGTTGGCATCTGGCTGGCTAGGATGGCAGCTCAGGTGTGAGGCTCGTGCCAAATGCTGCTTCTCTCAAACCTGTGGTGCTTCATCCCTCTGAGTAAAAGCAACATGGGGGCCTGGGCAACTATGAGTGAAGAGAGGAAATGGGCTATGTTGTGGTGCCAGCTGTGCCTCTGGCCTGGGCTGAGCATTCAGAGAGACAAAAGTGAGCTAAGAAACTGACTCCCCCGCTCCCAAATCCAGCCACCATCCCCTTTCACAGTTCCAATCGTATCACTGAAGAACTAAGAAGAGAACTGTACTATCCTAAATGTTTCAACAGTTGTGCCTCTCCCCAGGCAGCAGGGTAGCAGCTAATCCCTCACAATTTGGGCTGTATTCTGAGAGACTTCCTCAGAAGTAGCCATTTTGTCCCACATTAGTGGACCTAGCTTGCTCCCATACAAACTAGGCCTCAAGCCACTTATCAGAGAGATTTCCAGACCAGGAGTATGATCCAAGTTGGAGTCATAGAGACACGTGCAATGTTTGCCTAATCAAACCCCTCTTGCTCACACTTCCCGGCAGCATAAAGTGTATTGGTACTCTAAAGATACTATGACCATGAAACAAGTAATAGTAATCTTGACAATGGTTCCAAGAACAGCTTTTTTTTTTCCGCAGCCAAGACAACCAAGGGTCTAAAGAGTGCCAAAAGCTCTAGAAGCAGGGATGGAAGGGACCTCAGAGGTCTTCTAGTCCAACTCTCTGCTCAAGGCAGGAGACCTTATACCAGGGGTAGGCAACTGTGGCTCTTTTATGACTCATGGACTTCAACTCCCAGAATTCCTGAGCCAGCATAGCTCAGCTTTGGAAACCTCTCTCTTTCCCCTCAGCATGACTGGCTCAGGAATTCTGGGAGTTGAAGTCCACAAGTCATAAAAGAGCCAAGGTTGCCTACCCCTGCCTTATAACATCCCCGTCAAATGGTTGTCCAGAAGGCAGAGAGGAGAGAGGGAGAAGAAAACAGGTTTGGATCATAAAACAACAACAACAACAAAAGCAGATGGGAATGCAGAGATGAGCTAAGAATTTCTGGTGTCAGGGGCATAATACCCTAATAGCATCCCCCTGGCTGTCAAAGTATCAGTCACATAGCAGAGCATTTGCCCTCCTTTCTGCTGTTTTGGTGGGATGCCCAGCCCTGTTACTTACCAAGCTGACCCTGAGCAAGTGGAATGATGTTCCCAGGTGAGAAGCTTGCTTAGAATTTGGTTGTACTAGAGTCAAGTGCACAAAGGGACCTGTGAGATGGGGGGGGGTAGGAAATGTGTGTGCAAAGGGGTGTATGCATCATTACAGATTTTGAAGACAGAAAAAAAAGCCATGGCAGATCTCTGGTCACACCTGCCACTATTAATATCAAGATTAGGTGGGTATTTGAATCAAGATGGTGACATCTGAAGGGGGTTGGTCTTGATATGTTCTCTCCCAAGTTGCTACTTTGTTCCTTCCAGAAAGAAAAATTCCCGTCCACTGGGTAAATAACTTCAGGAAAGTGGTTTTCATCAGGGAAAAGACACTGGATAAAAAGTTATCTCCCTGCCTCTTTGCCCAGCATTAGGTTTGCGACTGGGGTAAAACAGTAAAGTGTGATAAACCGTAACCAAATGGAGGAGATTTACAGCCATGATTGTAGCATGGTCATATTATTGTTTCTGCCAAAGCATAACACGGTGAGGTTACCAAGAAGCCGCCCATGAATGTGAGTGCCGCTACTTGACAACCAGCCATCAAGTATTGTGATGTAACTCGAATGTTCCAAGGGAATTTGTAGGTTCACTGAAGTCCTGGGGTGGGTGGGTGGGGGAAAGCATTTTTATGAAGTATACCTTCCTCTCCAAATCCCCAGCCAAATTCCAAGACGAGAGGAAAGACGAGCAAGGAAAGCCAAAACGTGGGAAGTCAATTCAAAATTCATTCATTCAAAGCTAACGGATCAAAGGCCGGTAAATGCAATGAAGTGTATATCTGAAGAGTTGAAGCCCATAGCACCTTCAGCTGGATTAATTGGTGAACTTCCACACACCCACACATAAGGTTGTGCCAGCTTACCATATCTCTTAAGTGTATTGTAGTACACATTGCCATTCGACCCAGCTGTTGCCACAAGAACATCAAGTCCATGACCTCAAATTATTTAGCTGCACTGGCCTCAGTTCTCCTTGACAGAAGAGAATCATTGCCAAGAGGAAAAGAAAAAAACAAACATTTAAATAAACCAGATTAAAGGCTTTTCTCCCTTGCGGGCCCTGACACGCATATTCTGTTGTATTCACAGATCTCAGCTCCCACTTTCTTATTATTTATTCTAGAAAAAAATATAAATACCTTAGTGAAGGCTTTAGCGGTTGGGAACAAGGAAGCGGCTTTAGTCCGCAACTCCACAAGCTGCAAGGCTATTTAGCATTGTGTGAACCATCAGAAAAAGATGATCCTGCACTGGGGGGAGGGGGAGGGAGAAGAAGCAAAGACATGGTGCACATGAAGATATGTTCTACCGCATGTGCTGGAGAAATGGCATTGCTGTTAATGAAAATGGGTAGATGGGTGGAGAAAGGAAATACAGTAGCTGTAATATATATCTGTATTTTAGTACCAAAAAAAAAAAAAGAGTTTGATACAGTGTTTCACAAAACTTTAACCGGAAAACATAAAATTCAAGTTGGATTGAATCGGACCAGAATCTGATCAGATCAAGATCATTTTGCCTTGTCCTCTGGGAGTGGAAAACCTTGGTAGCTTTTGCGCGCTGAGCAGCTGGATTTACAAGGATAACTTAGAATAGGGTATTTTTGTGCCTACGTGTGCACACACACACATGCATGCAAATGCACGAAGATGCACATCTTAGAAACTGCAACAGGACGAGCATGAACAGTGAAGGCTGATCAAATCTGCAACCTTGATTGGAGCGATTAGTACTCCAGTCTTGATACGTAGAGGAATGCTCTAAAAAGTAACAGAAATAAATTTAACACAGAGTCCTTTGGAGACAAAAAAATCCAAACCCATCGATATAGATTGGGGGATACCACGCTTAATAATGATACTTGTGGGGGGGGGAAATCTTGGAAGTAGCAATTTGATATGATGGTATGAGGAGCCAACATTGTGATGTGGTTGCCTAAAGCAATTTCAAATTACATCAGCCACACATAAGGTCCGAATCATGCAAAATAACTGTCAACTGTTTACAGGTCATTCTGCACTTTACTAGCTTTTGTTGGGTGACCCATCTTTCAAAGTTCCGACGACACTGAAAAATGTAACTTACATTAAATGTAACTGGTCCTTGCACTTATGATTCACTTATAATACCCCTGAGGTTATTGGATTGTGATCTTGGCACTTGGCAACTGCTCGCCCTTACGACAGTGTCTTGCAGCCATGTCATCCCCCTTTGCAACCTTCTCAGCTGGCTTCCAACAGGCAAAGTCAGTGGAGAACCCTACAGGAAGATCGCACGTCACGATCGTGTGATGTCTCGCTTAACGACCATGGCAAAAAAAAGGTTGCAAAATCTGGTGCATTCAAGTGATGCCTCACCGCACTACTTAACAATGAATTTCCTGATACTAACTTTGGTTGTAAGTTAAGAACTTATCTGTATTCTACTTTAGTCAGGCCTCATCTTGAGTTCTGTGTCCGGTTCTGGGCATAGTAGTTTATGAAAGATTCGTAGACATTGGATCGTGTTCGGAGAAGAGGACTAATGAGAGGATTAGAAGTGAAGTCATAGAAAGAGTTCACTTGAGGGTTGTTTAGCTTTGAGCCAAGAGGCTGAGGGGAATATGAAGGCAGTGTCCTCTTCAAATATCTGAAAGAATATTTGCATAAAATGAGGGTGGGATCTGCTCTCCAGAGTGCAGAACACAGATGGGTCTAAGTTGAAGGCAGTTTCCACTTGAATATTAGGAAAAAAAATTAGAAAAAAAATCAAAAGTAAAAACAAAGCAACTTAATTCCTCAGAGAGGCGGTAGGGTGCCTTCCATTACTGTCTTCCAGCGTAGGCTGGAGAATTAATTAATGCTTTAATTTGGATTTCATCTTGAGAACAGACTGGACCGAATAGTTCCTTTCAACTCCAGAACTGCATGAAATGAACATGTTCTTGATCACAGGTTGAAATACTCCCTTTGAAAAGATACGGGCAAGAATATT